TTTCCCTTCTCTTTCAGTTACTCTTTACTTGCTAAATGATAATCCTTATGTTCTTAATAATTCTACTTTTTATGGAAATTTTTTCTTTTTATCACTGATTCATATTCCCTTTTTTTATATGTTGTCACCCTCCCTACCCCAATCACACATACACTTACTTCTTTCTTTATCTTACTCTTAGACTCAGCTACCTCAATATTAAAATCCATAATCTTAGAGGTAAAGGACATCTCCTCTCCCAACCTGGCTATTGAAGGCAACAAAATCTGTTTCTGCCTCTCATGATGTTTTATAAATAAAAAAGCTTGTATGTACTCCTCTCCCATCTCCAGTTTTCTTGAGGAAACTGCCCTGATATATATGTGAAGCCTGCCTTGCTGACTCAAAGGGTGGTCCATGGCCAGCAAAATCACCTGGGAGCTTGTTAGCAATGCAGAATCTCATTCCCAACCCGAGCCTCCTAAATCTGAACTTCTATTTTAATGAGATCTCAAGACAGTTTGTATGCATATTACAGTTTGAGAAGCACTACTTTAAAGAAACAATGTACATAGTAATGGAAGTACAGGGTGAATTTATATTAAATAGAAAAAGAGTCTTAATGAATTAGAAGCTTTTGGGAAATTACTTATAAAGTTTCAACAAATAATCTAGAAAATAACCAGAGACCTAGTTACATGCCTTGTTTTCTAAAGATTAATATTAATGAAGAAAAAACAATGTTTACAGGAAAACACGTGACTCATATATTTTGAAACATGTTTCCCAAATATGTAAAATATTTAAAGCTCAATACTCAGGAAACCTATACTTGTTAAACCCTAAGATATCTCTCTCTCTCTTTTTTTTATATTTTATTGATTTTTTTAGAGAGAGGAAGGGAGAGGGATAGAGAGTTAGAAACATCAATGAGAGAGAAACATCGATCAGCTGCCTCCTGCACACTCCCCACTGGGGATGTGCCCGCAACCAAGGTACATGCCCTTGACCGAAATCGAACCTGGGACCCTTGAGTCCGCAGGCTGATGCTCTATCTGCTGAGCCAAACCGGTTTGGGCAAGATTTCTCTCTTGATGTAAATAAATCAAATTTCAGTATTTTAAAAATTATAAGTAAGCTTATTAGCTTCATTTAATTGCAAATAAGCCCTTTTTTTTTTTTTCAAATTTTATTTTTTATTACAAAGGGTATTACATATGTGTCCATTTTTTTCCCCGCCCTAGACAGTCCCCTAGCCTCCCCTATTCCCCAGTGTCTTATGTCCATTGGTTAGGCTTGCAAATAAGCCCTTTTTAATGAAATCTAGAGCAACGGTCGCCAATCGGTGGTCCGCGGACCACTGGTGGTCCATGAGGTCCGAAAGGTTGGCGACTGCTGATCTAGAGATCAATTCACAAAGTGAATATATTGTCCTTTATGGATGAATTAATATGCTCTGAGCACTTTTTTAAAATTCAGAGTTATAAGTATGAAATGATCTTTCTCTACTATGTTGCCTACTTTAATCTAGAGCCAAAGGTACATAACTGTAAGAAGATTGGGTTTAGGTTGTTATTAAATAGGGAAATCCAAATTTATGTACATTTGAAATTTCTACATTTAAATTAAAATATGGACATGTTTAATATTCTCCCTAAAGCATTGAACAGAATGAGGAGGTCACACTGTATTGACTTAACTCAAAAGGAGCTGGGAAATCCCTCACCTTCTCTTACTTATTGTCTTCCAATCTAAATAAACAGGCATGTTAGGGAACTAAGTATCTTCACCTTCCTGGGAGACATCACTGAACATCTTAACTGAAGAGTCTTTGACAGAACGTCCGTGTTTCCCTGCCAGCTGAAGAATTAGAGGAACCTATGACCCCCTTCTCAGTGATAAGGCGAATGACCTGTATGAGAACAAACTGCAATCTGATCTTAACCACACTATTTTCTGAGGTGGAATTTAAATGTTGTTATATGATTAAAATAATTTCAAGTAATAATTTTTAGCCATTTATCACAAAAAACACTGAAGTTTAATTAAACTTACAATTCAAGTAGTCCACTCCAGTATCCTCCTAATGCCACAGTGAACACAGAAATTACAAAAATAACCACCATAGTATAGTCAAAGTTAGACCATGACGGAGAATACATTTTCACAGTAATGTTATCTCCAAGAGTCTGAAAGGCAAAAAATGAGAGTTAAAACACTGGTGTTAGTTTTCTTCCCACTACAGAGTATGGCTGTAGCACTCCAATTTTGCTCTGGAATGGACACTGTATCAGGCAGTCAAGAATACTAGAACTAGTTTTGACAATATGACATATTCTCTTGTCAAAATTAGGAGGCTATATTTTGGTTTATTAAGTCTTGAAACTGCAGTATTCCATACAATCAGAGGTTTTAAAAAAGTCAAAACAAATCAATATCTTTTCTGAAGTCAGGGCTCAGAAACACCTTGTGCTAAATGGGAGGTGAATACTTCCCAGGTAAAGACTTGGTAGGCCTTCACAGCTTCTTGTTACCAAGTGTAGCATGTATAATCATTTAAGTTAAATATCAGTGGTTGAAAGTAAAGAGTGTACTAGGTATGAACACTGTCTAGTGTGTAATTACTAATTTACCTGCTTCATATCTTTGAAGTCTTTGTTGTTTATAAATGCAATCAGTATTTTCATATCATGAAATTCAGATGTGTTCCCTGAGGGAGCAAACTAAAAGAAAAAAACACACACATATTATGAAAACGTATGAACTACTAACATATTTACAGAATAAAATCTGAATCATTCCAATAGAATATCACATCTTTATCAAGTTATAAAACAAAGTTTCAAGTGTTCTTAATATTATACAAGAGTTCTCAAACTGATATATACAGGTATATCATATATATGTAACTCTCACACACACACTATACATACTTGTTCCTAACAAAGTCTTGTCTACTTTAGGAATAGAAAAGAAACTACAAAATATTCCAATTAAATGCCTATCATAACCAGAATGTTTATTTAAAAATAATCCTATTAGATTATTCAAAACTCCGCTCCTAAACTACACACACAGAAGATAGTTCAATCTGTGAAATTTGATATCATGAGCTCAAAAGAAATTATTATCGATAATGATAAAAGCGTAATATGCTAATTAGACTGGACAGCCAAACAATCTTCCGGAAGTCAGTCTGGATGAAGTCATGGTGGCGGGGGTCAAGGCCGAGGCGGTTAGGGGAGATGAAGCAGGCAGGTGAGCAGTTAGGGGTGATCAGGCAGGCAGGCAAGTGGTTAGGGGTGATCAGGCAGGCAGGCAGGCAGGCAGGCGAGTGGTTAGGGGCGATCAGGCAGGTAGGCAGAGTGGTTAGGGGTGTTCAGGCAGGCAGGCAGGCCAGCGGTCCTGGATTGCAAGATGGTATAGGTTGGGCTGAGACACACACCCCCCCACCCCCTTGCACAAATTCCGTGCACTGGGCCTCTAGTAGTTTTATAACTTACTAAGACACTGTTATTGGCAACCAACAATGCTTCAGCACCTCCGGTTTGTGCAATTCTGGCTTTTTCAAGAAAATGGCAGGTTCCCCACTGAACCACAACTGCTTTGTTCTTTATTCCATCAGAAGGAATATCAGAAATGTTGCATAGTGGTGTGGAAGTTAGATTCTTCAAACTAACGGAAGTCTGAAAAGAAGAATGTTAGCATGGTAAATATCGTATTTCACCCTAAATGCATTTAGTGACAAAGTATCTATTGATTTAATATAATGTTCCTTTAAATCATGCTGATCAGGCTTTGAAATATTTTCTCCCACAGGGAGAAAAATATTTAAGCTAAAGCAATAAAACAATTACTATTTATTAATCACATATACAACTAGTTCATACACTGAAAATAATAATAATCACTCATTTTCACCTTTCAATATTTTTGTTTACAAAGAAATAGTAACTGTGATGTACTTACTGCATTTTCTAGGGTTCTTGGCAGAGCTGTCCAATGAGGGTTATAGAACATGCAGTAGTCCTTAGATGGTGAAGGTGTGCCAATTCCAGACGCGTGCAGGATTGCTTCCTGAGCAGCTGTCTGGGACATGAACAATAATTTTCACACTAGCGATGATTTGGCTTTGCCAACAACTAAGGATTTTAACAAAGCTATTTATATCTAGGTTGGACCACATTTCCTTAAGAGGGAAGGTCTTCTAGTGATTTTACCTTTTCTTGTTTGAGAAAACACTGAAACTACACACATTTGCCTGGAACACATTTTTTGAGAAAGTCACTCTCTCATGGGGATACTGTTATGGCCCTTGTTGTAAGAGCCATATCCCAGGGAGGATTCTTGCCGTGCTGTGATAATTTCGGAACTCCCTTCACTGCCTGAAACTTTCCTTCCAAACCCCTTTGGGAGTTGTTACTTTATTACTTATGTTCTGTAACAGAAAATCCATGTGAAATCCGTTAACCCACTTGTACCTTCCATAGTATGAATAACTAAGATTTCTTTTAAAAGAACATTATTTCTAAGTGCTATTTTCGGAAAAGAACCAAAGAACTCTCAAGTTTTCAAGATTCCGCAAGTGCATTTCCTTTTGCCTCATTTCCCACTATCTGGGAAAAAGAAAAAAAAAAGGAGACAAGACGTAAGAAGTGACTGAAAAGAATAAGTATTATACATGAGGGTGAGAGTGGAGAGTATGAAATGATGAAACATCCGAAGAGAATTAGAATACCACTCCACATCACGATTCCCTTCAAACTTGGATCAATTCAAATCCCACTTTCCTCCTCCTTTGAACAAATCTTTCTCTAAAACATAAGGGAGAAAAGAGATTGCTTGGCAAATGAAGATGATGGACTAAGCCTCTACCAAAGCATGCATTAGGCCGAGCCACATCACACTGCAGATAATTGAACATTTTGTTCTATAAAATTGGCAATTTCGCCGAAACCGGTTTGGCTCAGTGGATAGAGCGTCGGCCTGCGGACTGAAGGGTCCCGGGTTCGATTCCGGTGAAGGGCATGTACCTGGGTTGTGGGCACATTCCTGGTGGGGGATGTGCAGGAGGCAGCTGATCGATGTCTCTCTCATCGATATTTCTAACTCTCTATCTCTCTCCCTTCCTCTCTGTAAAAAATCAATACAATATATTTTAAAAAAAATTGGCAATTTCGTGTAAGACAATCTAAATTTTTAATGAGTACAAAATGCTCTAACCCATGCTCTCCTACCTAAAGTTTCCCTTGAACATTTGGGATTAGAAAGCTTTCTGGCATAGGGACTTCATTAGCTTACGGATCTAAGCCACTATAGCGAATTCTTTTAAAATGTCATCAAATGCCGAAACCGGTTTGGCTCAGTGGATAGAGCGTCGGCCTGCGGACTGAAAGGTCCCAGGTTCGATTCCGGTCAAGGGCATGTACCTGGGTTGCGGGCACATCCCCAGCAGGAGGTGTGCAGGAGGCAGCTGATTGATGTTTCTCTCTCATTGATGTTTCTAACTCTCTCTCTCTCCCTTCCTCTCTGTAAAAAATCAATAAAATATATTAAAAAAAGTCATCAAATTACATAGAATAATTAAAGATATTATTTGTGAAAAAATAAATGTAGTTTTCATTTGGCTATATATATGGTGGCCATGAATGGATTCGGACAGCAGAGATGAATCAATATGTTAGATTCTTACTATACACCAAATTATTTTTGTTATAAACAAACTGTACAAATGAAACAAAGTATAAAATTTAGGATATTTTCATGCATTTGTCTGATTCAGTACCACTGTTTTACAAATGAGGGCTTTGAGACTCAGAGAAGTTATTAACATAGCCTAACTAAGGTCATATGGTAGAATCATCCCCAATTCTAACTACAGAAGGTAATCCTGCGGATAATTATGAGGGTGGATTAGGTTTAGATTACATATTTTTTAAAAAGAATATTCTATAGGTGAACTGGGTACTTATGGCATCCAATAAAATGGCACATGAGCCCAGCTGGCGTGGCTCAGTGACTGAGCATTAACCTATGAACCAGGAGATCACGGTTCAATTTCCAGCCAGGGCACATGCCCGTGTTGCGGGCTGGATCCTCAGTGTGAGAATGTGCAGGAGGCGGCCGATCAATGGTTCTCTCTCTCTCCCTCTACCTTCCTCTCTGAAATCAATAAAAATATATTCTTTTAAAAAAATGTCACATGATGTCAGGATGCCCCTCTACTAGTGCTGCCAAGTTTAATTACTTGATTACTAGCAACTGCAGGATTTTTCTAGTGTAAAGTTATATACTTTCCCGTTGTGATTGGTAAGTAATCTGTCGCACCATATGAACAGACTGACAATCTTTCACCTAGTGCTTTAGCTTCCATGAGCATCCGTGCCTGAAATTTTTTTTACATTTTAAGATATTTTTTAGAAAACAGTAATTTTTAAAATATGTTTTTATTGATTTTTAGAAAATCGAAGGGTCAGTGTGAGAATGTGCAGGAGGCGGCCGATCAATGGTTCTCTCTCTCTCCCTCTACCTTCCTCTCTGAAATCAATAAAAATATATTCTTTTAAAAAAATGTCACATGATGTCAGGATGCCCCTCTACTAGTGCTGCCAAGTTTAATTACTTGATTACTAGCAACTGCAGGATTTTTCTAGTGTAAAGTTATATACTTTCCCGTTGTGATTGGTAAGTAATCTGTCGCACCATATGAACAGACTGACAATCTTTCACCTAGTGCTTTAGCTTCCATGAGCATCCGTGCCTGAAATTTATTTTACATATTATGTTGGGTATTACAAAACAGTAATTTTTAAAATATGTTTTTATTGATTTTTAGAGACAGGAAGGGAGAGGGAGAGAGACAGAAACACTGATGATAGAGAAACATCAACACCGAACGGCTGCCTCCTGCATGCTCCTTGCTGGGGATCGTGCCTGAAGCCCAGGCATGTGCCCTGACCGGGAATGTGCCTTGACTAGGAATCAAACAGGTGACCTCTTGGGTGGACACTCAACTACTGAGCCACACTGGCCAGGCAGTAATTTTTTTTTAAATACTGTCATTCCTCATACATTTATTCTTTAAAAATGTTTTACTCTCTCCCTCTACCATCTTTTGTTTAGTATCATACTCAATTTCTTATTAAAAATATTTTTTTATTGATTTCAGAGAGGAAGGAAGGGGGAGAGAAAGAGAAATATCAATGAGAGAGAATCCATTGATTAGCTACCTCCTGCATACCCCCCACTGGGACCAAGTCCACAATCCAGGCATGTGCCCTGAAGGGGAATGGAACTATGACCTCCTGATTCATAGGTCGACAATGAACCATTGAGCCATGCCGACTGGGCAAGACTCATTAATTTTTTAAAAATCCAATGTAATGTAATTACAATTATGCATTTTGCTGATCAAATTGTCCCAAATTTGGCCAGTAGAAACTCTTCCAGCTTGGTTCTTTGTATCCTTTTGACAGGACTTCATTAGTCTTGGAGGACTTCCATGTTTTTTGGCACAAGATGTCCTAGGCTGGCTTTATCCTTTACCTGCCACAGATCTGGAACCAGCCATTCTACTAAGCTCCTTTAGGAGAGGAACAATATTTAGATCAGGACTTCAGTTATTGTGCACACTAGTGGTCTGGTGCACAAAATTCGTGCACATTAAAAGGGAATTAATTAGAGGAAGTATTTTAATATTGCTATTTGCCCTTTATAATAACAGTGTCAGAGATGAAAGAAAATTAGTAAAATGTATATGAAAATCTCCCTCCTGCCAGAATCTGGGGCGTGCCGTGGGACGCAGAGTCAAGTCCCAGCCCATCCACACACGCCTCAAAATCGCACGAGACCCAGACCTGGCCAGCCCTACCTCTGTCAAACCCCGCAGGGCGGGAGGCGCAGGTCCCCTGTCAAGCCCCATCAGGTGGGGGGCGCAGCCTCAGGTCCCCCGTCAAGCCCTGCTGGGTGGGGGGGTGCAGCCTCAGGTCCCCCATCAAGCCCTGCTGGGTGGGGGGCACAGCCTCAGGTCCCCCATCAACCCCTGCTGGGTGGGGGGCGCAGCCTCAGGTCCCCTGTCAAGCCATGCCGGGTGGGGGGTGTAGCCTCAGGTCCCCTGGCCTAGCCTCAGATCTCCTAGCCCCAGTGTGAGGGTGTGACAACCATTTGCATGTTAGCTCTTTATTATATAGGATGGCTGTTGCAGTGGTATAGCCTTTATAATAGACAACTGGTAGTATCAAGCAAAAATTTTAATACATAGAATCCTCTGATTCATATCCTACAGGTGTGTTATGCAAATGCACAAAGATAAATGTATAAGGATATTGACTGTAATATTATTTGTTATAAAAAAAAAATCAGCAACTTCCACCGATAATGAGCCCATCATAGTACACAGCTATTAAAAAGAAACAACTAGATCTTTCTGTAGAAACAGATGTCCATTGTGAAAACAGCAAATTCCAGGGAGATACTTATAGTGTAATCCTATTTTTATGAAAGTAATGACCCACTCCTCCACCCAAGCTCCTTATAGATAATTACTAAAGACCCGGTGCACGCATTCATGCACCCATGGTGTCCCTCAGCCTGGCCTGAGCCCTCTTGCAATCTGGGACCCCTTGCGGGATGTTGGAGAGCTGGTTTTGGCCTGATCCCCGCAGGCCAGGCCGAGGGACCCCAATGGTGCACAAATCTGTGCACTGGGCTGGTTTTCAGCCCGATCCCCGCAGGCCTCTAGTATGCATATAAGATCTTTGGTTAGCTCTAGCTGGTTTGGCTCAATGGATAGAGTGTCGGCCTGTGGATTGAAAGGTCCCAGGTTTGATTCCAGTCAAGGGCACATGCCTGGGTTGTGGACTCGATCCCCAAAAGGGGGTGTGTATGAGA